ATTCAATGATATTCAGTTTTTAGTGTCTATTAATCATTACATTTTTCACTTTTTGGCCATATTAAGGCACTTGAAATTTGCTCTTCAATGGCGGCAGCGGCTGCCTCTGCTGAGAGCAACATATATCTTCCTCAAGCCACCCAGCCTTCCATTACCAACGAAGTTCATCCTTGTCCCCAGGATGAACCCCCTATATCAAAGCACCTAACAAGATCTGTGACACGTACCGAGGGAAGTGAACTAGACTGCCACCATTTTACTTCCACTAAACTGGATGCAGATCTGATTAGACATGAAATGTACAATTCTAAACAACTCTCGGAAACACTTGCCTTGTCAAACGCATCATGCAGCAGTTCTTCTTCATTCGTAGCAATATCTGCCGCCAGTTCAATTGCTCAACATCTTGCCACAGAACCTAATATACTTCCAAAGGATACTAATCAGACCGATGTAAATGACGAAATCGCTATCGAGGAGGCTCTTGGCGCTGACGTCAGTAGTCATGGAGATACAGACTATCTACTTGGTGGAGAACTTGAAGATGTGGATGTTGAAACAGACTGCCAGACGTCCCTACACTCAGCTGCAGAGGAAGTTGACACAGGTTCATTAAAGTCTTTGCTCAAGGGTCCCAGCGAAAAGGAGCTTGGCCTATTTGTAACAAAGTTCACTACTGTCGACTTGTCTGAGGACAAAGAACAAGGGTCCATTGAAGGAGAAGGGGCTCTGTTGAAAAAGAGGTGTGTTGAATATGCAGTCTTCCAACGTGAATGTGAGTCATTCAACACAAACCTCATCGTCTCTGAAGAACATTACAGTATCATCGAAAGCCTGGAAGGCCAGCTTGCTTCGCATGTGAGAAGGCAAAGCTCAGCCTTGACTAATGAAATAACGAAAAAAATGAACACTCCAACTACAGATGATTAATAGGCTAGAAGTTTCCCCTAAGCACAGCAGTTGGTAACTTAAAATAAACTTCTTGTCGATACCTGAAAAACAGGTC